TCCCGTAATGGTGTTGAGTTGAAACTTTATCGTGTTGAGTATTCATGTTGTGATGTTGAGTATTCATACTTTGATGTTGAGTATTCATGCTATGATGTTGAGTATCTAGGCCATGTTGTTATGTCAGTATGACATGATGTTGTATTATCATGTTATGTTGTTCACTGCTTATCTCGTCGTTGTCTGGTTGTAAGCGTTTTTCATACACTGATAACAAATATCAACCGTGTTGATGCATCAAGCGAAATGAAGTTTTACGTTAAACTAAAGTAGACAAAACAGGTTATATTAATATATTATTAAAAACATTCTCATATAAGTTTCGTGACATAGGAAAGCTTAGTTATTAAACATTGACTGTGTCTCTCTATAATTTATAACGGGACGTTTCTTATTTGTAGTACCATTAGAAGTATAAGATAATAAAAACAATTGATTTATCTCAAACAATTAAGATATTGCATGTCATATTCCCAAATCAATTGAGATGCCTCTATTAGAATTTCAATTTTACATTCAAAATTATCTCGTGTGCAATAATTCAGTAATATGAATATATATATATAGATAAAGTTAAAAATTATTCTTAACATTACCGTGAATAAAAATACGCAGTCAATGTTTAATTACTAACATTGATTTCCTACGTAACGAAGCTTAAATACAAACCGTGTTCTACTTTATTTCCACCGGCATTAGAACTCTGTTGTTTAACGTTATCCGGTACAACCAGTTGAAACGGTTGAATCTTGGAAGAAAACAACTGGCGGAGATCTACGGTACGTGTAGATCACAGGGGTTCGTTACAAATGTCTGATATACACATATGTTATACTGATGTGACCCATATCATTAAAGCATATGTGTATTTCAGACATTTGTTACGAACCTCTGTGTGTAGATTGAGGGGTCCAGACGTGCCTTACCGAAACTAAAATGCGGAATATTGCTAGTTTGCGTTATTTCTTGAACAAAAACAATGTCAAACCAGATGCAGATTTTAAGATACGTTTTGCTTTAGCTCTGTCTATAGTTCAGTCCAAGTGCGTTCGTTTATCGTGGAAAATTTCTGCGCCACCTGAACCGTTTCAATCGGGATAAGGGAAAGCTTACTACAAGACAACGTAGAGACAAACACACAACATCATGTCATACTGACAAAACAACATGATGGGTTCACTCAACATTATAGCATGGATACTCAACACCATGACATGAATGCTCAACATCATAGCATGAATGCTCAACACGATGGTGTTTCAACTCTACACCATGACATGGCAACCCAACATAATAATAAGTCAACCGAACAATATAGCATCTCCACCCAACATAATGACTTGTCAACCCAACATAATGACATCTCAACCCAACATAATGATATGTTAACTGAACATCATGGTATATCAACCCAATAAAACGACATTTCCTCTCAATTTAACGGCATGTTAACCAGACGTCATGACAGGTCAACTCAACATAACGACATGTCAATCCCGACATATTAAAGGGGCTGATCGCGGAAAAAATGTCGTATTTGCTAAAATGGCATACACATGTTTAAAATACCTTCTTNACCCAGATCAGTGATGTAATTTTACCGCACGCGCGTCATCAACAAGGCCAAATGTAAACATCGCGGCGAAAGAAAAAGATGCATGCAAAAGTCATGACAGGCACGATGTATCAATACCGTTATATATAACAACAACATATAGGTAGGAATACTACACTTGCATCATACATGACCTTTGAAAACAATTATTTACGTATAGTATTGCTGTCTTGTCCGCTAGTTGAGTCCGACATGGCACATGACGGCGTGCTATTGTTGTTATCTTCACTGCCTCACTTTCGAAACAACCACGTGACATATAAAAATAGATCTGCGCTAAATTTACGCGGGGCTTCCCCGAAATTTCAGTTGTCAAAACTGGACATTGAAAGCAGAACTCGACCATCATATTGCCGTGGTATAACTATTGGAAGGCCAGAGAACGCATTTAGACCCATTTATTTTGTATTTTTTTTCCCGACCAACCCCTTTATCCGAACGTCATGACAAGTCAACCCAACATATTGACATGTCAACCCATCATCATGACATGTCAACCTAAGATAATGATATATAAACCAAACATAATGCAGACAATGAAGATAAGACAGTCGATGCGTTCCATACTATAGATTATCAAGATTGGCGCTATTTTTGTGTTATGTTAATTATATAGCTGTGGGATCGCACAACACCCCAAAATTACCGTGTTAATGTGACAAAGGCTCTATATTTCTGTGTATCAAATAACAACACACATTCCTCCTGTTGTTCGTCTGTCATTTATTATGACCTGTTATAGACGATGACATACCATGTAGCATTCATTAAACACACACCTGTACAACTGAGGATCACAACATGGGATACGATACGCGGACACGGTAATGTTTTGTGTTAAACGGACGCGATACAAACACAAGCAATAACAATAACTTAACACAATTAGATAAAGATTGAAACGACCTGCTACATCATCTCCTGCTTCGTTAAAATGTCGTCTACGACCATTAATGCTGAAAAGAATGCCCGATTATTAACGCTAAAAAGGGAGGGAAAACACTATAATATAATCAAGAACTATCAAAATATTGCAGTCCTATATTATTACACCGAAACAAATAAAAATGAATGTAATAGTATCACCTCAAGTAAGAAATACATGCTAAAATCGATACATACATCGTGCACCCAACGGTGCCCTTTAACAATCGATCGAGGGTGGTCGAATGGCGCAGTTGATATTGCACTTGTCTTTCACCAAGGCGACCGGGGTTCGATTCCCCAATCGGTCGTGAAAAGGTATGGGGTGACGCCAGTACAGAAAGTTTGATTGATATAAGTTGAACTCACTTGTTTCTTAATTGTTGTAGAACAAATACAGTTTATATAAAAAATCAATCGATCACTACGTCGTACGATAAAACGCGCACAAATGTACGATATGGTAAGATCGGTTGATCAATGTTACGGAATGAAGAAAAATCCGGAAGACTCGATTGATAGAAGGTACATCCTATTCGTAGTTATCATCCCTATGGTACATCTAGCAATCAAATTAAATGCATGCTACATGTACAGTTTATTTCATTGACTGTACAACTGTCAATAATGTGTCGGTACTAGCATGTATAGTACCTGTATAATTATGTACACACTGATTATTGAATCGAAGTGGTTGCCGATTAATGTTCATCGATGAGTTGACAGTTATAAAAACAAAACTGACCCATACCGGTGTTAATTGTGTCTGTTACGCTTTGTGTTGACTTTTATACCATCTTCACGGTTGAGATGTACCCGTTATCTGTTAATAAACAAATAACGGTTAATGACGTTTATCTGTTGGTACAGTATGTATACCTTTACAATGTATGACCATATATCTGTACATTTGTCGATTAAGATCGTTTAAAAACAATTTTGATATGTGATGTGTCCGTTACTGCTAGAGAAAGATAGCCATGACAATTTCGCTGAAATATGATAGCATAATTCAAACAGGTAATATTTAAGTTGAAATAAGAAATATTTGTTATTCACAAGCAATTCCTTAATATCTATCAACAGCGATGTAGACTCATCCGGAACCTGCATTTAGTCACGCCCTGTGTACTAATCTTATGTAATAAGTAGTTCATGAAATGCCGCCATTGATTGCAGTGTTGTTGTTGCCGGATCAATGATGCTTGTGGGTACACACACCACAAAAGACACCTATCGAAAAAAATACAATAGCTATCGCATAGTTGTGTGCTCGCTATAATCGCAGTTTGTCATCGTGTGCACATGGTTCACACATAGTTCACACATTGTACACACTCGTTACGTACACTACACGCCGTGTATGGGTGTGCAATACCACAGCTGTATACTGTACTACCATATTGTGTTTGTGTTGATTCTCTAAAACGTAAAATCTTGTTTCCAACTATCAATGGCAAATGTGTTTCTTAAAAGAGGTATTCAAAAGAATGGGCCTATCAATGTTATAACGCCAAATTAACATACTTACCCATGTTCATAAAAGACCACGCATCATCTTTTTTGATAACTATTATGCAAGGATGTGATATTGCAAACTGAATCTGGAGTGCAAGCAAATCACTTTGAACAGAACAGGTTCATCTGACTTTGCAAGATATCAGCTGAAAAAATCAACAAGAAAATTTGGAAAAATAAACTTTTGGTTTGAGAAGTGAAAACATAATCATGTTCAATTTTTGTAAAATTTTCAGTGAGGAGGGCTAGTTTGAGAAATTCATGGTCAGAATCGAACAAAATACTGTTCAAAATGGTTTTTGTCAGATATCAAGGAGAACATACTGTAAGGGCTTCTATACGTATCCGACTAAAGTGGTTCTTAGTTTTAAGCGTTGAGAGTTCAACTGGCATTCATAATTAATATGAGTGTCGAGTGGGAATGGCAAATTCAATGTTTAATTGTCTTTTCAGGATAACGATTATTGCTCAGTCTAAAGAGCGATATTGACATTTTTCCCGAAAACGTTGCCACATGTACTAGTAAGTCGAAAATGAAAACTGGTCTGAATGTATCGAAGATATATACATATACATGTTCACGGGGAGATGTTTCTTCAGTAATAGGTATTTTTTCCGCTCGGATATCCAACATGGCTGCAGTGACTTCTGATTTTTTGAAATTTAGACACTGTTTAATTTCATTCAAATTGGGCTTATAACTTGAGTATTGCAATACAAACTCTATAGTGATGACCGCCTAGGCCTGTTCTCAATGGTCAAAATAAAGAAATGTTTCGATTTCGATTAATTTTGGTATGCAAGCGTACTATAACTCAATTATTCCAAATCAACTGTCGCACCTGTTTACATCATTTTCAGTAACAGTGGAAGTTTGGGGAACTCCTTAACAGCTACCATTACAATTATATTTATATTCTTTTTGGTAGGATTTGGAAACACTTCTCCCCCAAATAACCGTCCGATCAGCAAGCAGACAGCGGCGAGGATATCTCTTCAATAAAAGAGACGAAGAGGAGTTACTTCGTGTCATATCAGGACGTTACTATGATGAGGGAACTGATATTAATTGTTGTGAGGATTTGGAGTTTGCGAATAGGAACAGGGCGAACATTCTACAAGTAATTAAATATAATGAAATATTTTACATTTCAGAGAGTTTCTAACGTACAATAGAGTTAACGTGATTATTAACTAGTACAGGTATGTACCAGTATTTCAGTATGTCCGTACGCAGATCTCTACTGTTTATTAAGGTACTAACATATTTTGTGTTCCGGTGAACATATAGGAGGATTGAATTATTGTTGATATGATTTTCCATTCTAGGAGTTATTACATGCATAGAATTAATAGTCATGGATAATTATTAACAAAACACCCACGTGTTCAAATGTAGCTCCAAGACGTTGAGGCATTTGAATACCGCCAGGACAACAGTAAATGCACCCTTGAGGTTTTGCAAAGTTCCGGCTTCACCGGAGGAGATGACGACTTCTTCGATTTGGTAAGTAATTTACATGAAATGGTTGGTGTCAATAAACTTTCCTAACATTTTCCTCTGATTTCGTGAAAATATGCGAAGTTCACACCGATCAAATAGCTTTAAAACAAATTGGCTAATATATAAATACATGGTAAACGACCCGTTTGAATTGCAACATGTTTTTAAGTTTTGACTGAGTGTAACTATCATTTAATTACCGGTCAATGGAATTAGTTTTATAAAATTACCCGTATGACAAATCATAGTCACTTGTACCTTTTTTGTAAGCAATCCATGATATGCAATGGCAGGTGTATTGATGATGAATAGCATGACAGTGTCTAAAACATTTTCCCATTAGTAATATTTAGATCCAATATAAGAAAGTTTCGTATCCGACGAAATTTTCAATGCTCAAAGCCGCATTGTAAAATGAAATAATCAAGTTAAAATATAGTATTACACTAACTTTCTTATATCAATATATTTCTACAAATGCGTTATCAACGTTTATAAAAGTAGCAAGATTTATCCCTGTAAAATGAGTTTTGAATATATCATTTGACTGTTATTACTCTGTTTTGAAATAAAGCCATTTAACCAAGACTTTGCCTTTACGTTAATCTTCATACCGGTAAAATATCCTAGAGCTGAATCATGTAAATACTCGATACAGCAATTGGTATCATGTAATCCGGTCTATTAAATCTGTTATCGCATCAACGCTCTCAGCTCATACTTGACGCCGCAGACCTCACTACAAGTGTTGAAACCTTCGATTGTTCTATCAAATGTACCTTGACGTGTTTTAGTTACCGCAATATGAGTGCAATGCAACCGAAGAGACAGGCAGTACTTGGTCACTATGTGATATCAACATTAAACAGCATGTACAGGCACAAAGTTTGGATATGAGTAATCGCAACGAACTCACTAACTTATCTGAGGTGAGAATATCGACTATATTACTTTCAATGATCAGTTGACTGTATTTGAATAACGTAAGGTGATTTGTACAGTAACAGTTAAGTGTATCGAGATATCATTTCCATTAACTGGATACGAGTAGATGTTTTCCCCTACTTTCTATCCTTTATTTGAACATATAAAACACGCAAAATAAAACCTTTGGAAAGTATATGAACATGTTAACGTCATGTCAGAGTTAAGATCTATAAATGTTGCTTTATTTTTGGCTTACAATGCTTACAAATTTACTATTAATGACATTTGAAAACAATTCAATATGTTTTTTTGGAATGACTTCAGCAAAGCTCGCCTGTTCGAAGAATAATTAAAAAGCAGTCTAAAAAGACAGAAGTGTTTATTTTTTCGTGTGCCGAAATTATGATCAATGCTAAATATCACCATCCAAGTTGAATACTGTTAAGTATATACATAATATGTTGTCAGTGAATCGAATGACTTTTGTAGAACATAAGTGTGTATTCTTCGTGATAGGACCAATGGACATTGCAGCCACAGATAAGTATCGAATCAAAGAGCAGACTGCGACGAGGCTATGTCTTCAATGAAAAAGACATTCCGCAGTGCCATGCCAGAACATAACTATGATGCAAAAGAAACGGATATTGATTGCTGTCGGGATTCGGAGCCACATCATCCAGGAATGGTTAGAAATGGGATTATACCAAATCAAATGAACATTGGATATAAATTAATAATTAAAAATTTAAAATCATGATAGTAATCACAGTTTATACAGGAAAGTACAATCGATGCAAAAAGTTCTGATTGTAACTGTGTTCCCTATTTGTGTAATTCAAAGAAACATCGTAATTAAAAACATTTATTAACAAGTCACATCGTATTATATATTGAACTTCATATATAACGTTAAATAACTAACTAAATTGCTCTAAAGTTTGTCAATTTATGTATTTTCTAAAATATGCAACTGGAAATGTAAATAATAAATAAGCTTTAGACCACAGTGGATAGCGGTTAGTTGATAGGCTGATCATACAAACAACAGCTACATGTAAATTGACATAGGTGGACAACACTAGTAACACATTTAGTGTAAACTATGGGATTGTTTCACATCTGACGCTGTTTGTTGACGAATGCAAATTTGATGAATTATTTACACTATTTCCATTTGTAGACGGCGACACTGATTTTAACCCTACGCCAACTATTCAAAATGTTCGAAAATAGAAACACTGTAAATATTTATCAGCTTCTAAAATGTGTTAACGTACTTTGTAAAATGAAATTATATATCCTACAAAAATGTTGGTTATTTACTCCTGTTTTATGAGACAGAATTTGTAAATCAATATTTTACATGAGAAACATATTCAAGGTACAAAAGAGCGACACCTATTCAAAATTAACAAAATTCATTCACAGGTACCGTATGCCGCAATGTCGTTATATAGCGGAACAAACAGTGAACCAACTAGTTATTATACGCCGGTGTTAGCGTCACGAAGCTTAGCAAATGCTAACACAAAGCGAGAGGAAGCGAACAAGAATTTGGTAAGTCAAAAACATGCGACTATTCGAACAATGGCACTGCACAATATTTCCTTATCATTGCATTTTACCTTGAAATATATTAAAAACATTTTGGTATTGTCTTCCTTTCTATTTTTGTAAAGATGAACCTTTGTTTTCTTTTCTCATTGTTGTTATTGTTTTGTTTTGTTTTAAACATCGAATAATATCTCACTGTCTAGATAATACATTAAGTATGGCAGAATACATATATGTTTGACGAGTGCGTAGCTAAATAATGGTATAGTCTTTAAGCCATATAAGCCATGATACAGATAATGATATGAAAAAAGACATATCATAGTCTGTTTTTCATGTACTCACTTCTCAATGTCTTATACTTTTGATCTTCAGACGGAATACCATACTTGAGATCATATTCATATATACATTATATACTGTAGTTACATGTACATTTATCATATAAATCACAAAAGGCAATAACATGGGCAGTTACAGGGTTTCCATGCGTTTAATATGAATGTAACGTCACCATATAAATCAACATATACCTACCCATTTGTTGCATATGTGTTATATATAATTAATCGACACACGCATAAGTATAAAGCATAAAGGTACCGTATACTGCGACGTCGGTATATAGCGGGGCAAACAATGAGTCAAGTGGCTACTACACTTCTGAGTTTGCGGCTTCCACTTCAGCATATGTGATCACAGAAAGAAAGGCAGCGAACAGGGATTTTGTAAGTCAAATTCAAGAATGTTTTGTAAGTATTCCATAATTGGTTTCTTCCAGCATTTCAATTTCAGTTTCCCTTTGAAAATGATAACGATTTGATTTAAGATAATTTCATTTTACTAACGACAATCTTAATTATTCGTAAACTCGTTGTTTTTTTCATACCCCGCTTCGACCGAAGCCAAGGTAATTTAATAGCATTGGCGTCGTTTGTGCGTCCCTCTGTATGTGCTTACTGTGAATTCCAGAGCATATCCAAGCAGCTGTTTCACAAATTGCGTCATGCGAAGGCGGTGTGTGGTATCCTTACCGAGGTCACTGTGACCTCAATTTGGCCTTTGAAATTCACCTTCAATACTAAAAAATGGTTTCCGGAGCTGTTTTCACCCACTGTTTGCTAAATAGGCATTTTATAGGTACATCGCGAGAAGGCAGTGTGTCGTGTCTTTATATGAGATAATTTTGACTTCCCTTTTAAAGAAATGTGTATATACCAGAACCGAAAGTGATATTACAACCAGTCTGCCATGCAACCCAGGGTTCGTGTGCAACTGAGCATAACATTGTAGTTGTAAGATTTCATTTGTAAACAAATTCAATTACCATTGCATGTATGGCTGTCACACTTGATGTTAAGATCAGGTTGACACAGTGAGGTTCTTGTGGTCAACATCGAACTTTCTAACCTTAAAGTGTACCATGAACGAAAAAAAATGAGTATATTATTATTTTTCATGATCTTAAATAAAAAATATCGAAAACCTCAAAAAAATCGGTCAGCCCAATACCTTGATATTTGAGATGTAATGTGTTCTATTTGAAGTGGGACCGTGCTTCCAACGGCATCATTTATAGTGTCACCTCACTTGATCCACCCTAGACCATTTTATAATCCACCTGGGTTGATGGAGTTGTGTGGGCAGGAGAAAAACACTTTCTCTGAATATCCGTGCATACGACGACTTCGGGGAACGAACCCCAGCCGCCTGCGTGGAAGACCGGAGTGTTAACCACTCGACCAATCCGCCCATAAAATACGGAAATGAATTGGTGAAAAATGTTTGCAAAATTACAGTGATGATGTCGGCTACGTTCTTGAATGGCAATAAAATGTATAGAATATTTTAAGTATTACAGTATAATCACATTTTGACGACATTGTATCTTACTTGTGTGTGTAAGGTCGACAATTCAAATAAACAGCAAAATACCGACAATAAAGTAAGTATGTAGATTGTTGTAGATTATGTGTCTTCTACTTTTTCATTTAACAACAATATCCACAGGCTAGATAACGGGGAAATAAATAAGGATCAGCTTCAAGGAAAATATGCACCGAAACAAATTATTATAATAATAAATTGATGAGATGGACCATGTGATAATGTGAGAAAGGTATAAAAGGGGGCGCGAACGACGTTCATGTCAGACAATCTTGTAGCTTCGGCCACGACTATTTATTCCTAAATCTTTACTAGCAACGCTTTATCAAAGGGAGATAACTTATACTTTTAGATATGCTAAATAGTTTAGATATTCTGTTCCTCTATTGAAATAGTTGAACACTGTGTAAAGTACCTGCTACAGATATAATATCAAATGTTAAGTTATTCTATATAAAACGATTTTATGCAGTACATTATTGTCTCCCACCACACTGACCTCTGCCAGTATGAGAGCATGCTGTATGAGAGAGTTGCAGCAACCCTGTACACATATGATTGACACTGATGTGTAATAAAAAGCCAGGCTTGCTTCAATACTTATTCGCAATGTTTCAAGTTTTTATAACTGGGGGACAATACACGGGTTGCTGCTCATTTTTAGTATGACTTATTTTACCGTTTTGTTTCTCACATATCGAACGCATGATCGAAGCTTCCAGGTATATTCATATAGGGCTGTTTTGACAGCGTTGAACTTGTGACGTCACAGATGTGGGCTACCCATATCGAGGCGATCGCCGCTGAGCCAAAGGCGTGTTTTTCAGATAAATGAAAATATCTCAGAAACGGAGTCAACTACGACGTTCGCACTTTCCGAGCCTTTTATTGTATTGTATGAAGTATTTTCATAGCATGATATAGAAAAACGTTAAGGGTACACTTTAACCTCAAGTAGCCAACGCTATATGGGAAAAATATTATGGGGCATTTAAATAATGCCTATCCTTCGAGATTTTTTCCCCATATTGAATGACTTTATCTGTATGTACTAAGCATGTTTTCACTTAACTAATACGTCCATTGATAGGTGCCTTATACAGGGACGTCGGTATATAGCGGGACAAACAGCGATTACTATAGTTCCGAGCTAGCGACTTCCCGTTCAGGACATGAAATCAGTGAAAGAGAGGCAGCAAACGAGAATTTGGTGAGTCTTCACACATAATGTTTTTATCATGATTTCCATCCCATCATTTCCCTCTTTTTTTCTGAAATGTAAAATCAAAAGAATGGGATAAATCAGCAAACCGTTATACAATATGTAATATCTACCAGTTAATAATCGCTTTGTGTTTTACCTAGATATTTTACGTGTGTATTGACTAAATAGATATACAACAGATTCCAAAAAGGAACAAGATAAAATAACTCTCTGACTCATATAGGTTTTTACCTTTAACAGTAACAACGTATAATGGAATACATTGATGCTATTAAAGAAATCATTGAAATTGAAATGTTTTCCGATAAAAAAACAAAGAGTACACCTGTCAACAAGGGTATATTTGTTGTTTCTATACAGACACCATACGTATATTTCAGTATTCCTATGCAGACAACGTACAGCTATCAAGGACAACAGAAGATGGTTGCTATTCTGCTGATTTTGCAAACGATCCTGGAAATAGTGTTTATTCAGTTCCACTCGTTCAGACAGAGGAGATGGAAGAAAAGAAGTCATTTGGCCTCAAAGCACTACAGGTACTTGTGCTTCATGAACGATATAGCTTGAATGCTCTTGCAATTTTACTAGGAGTCATTTATCTCCAAGTAACTAAGTTAACGGCGTGAAAGTTGACTCACAACGTTTCTGTAATCTTAAGACATCCGTCGTAATATTTCATATTATATCATAGTCTGTCTATGTCTCTTTACCCTTGACCTAATCAAATCACTTTCTTATCGTAACAAACATTTCATTTTTTTCTTCTTTTAATATCGATGAAGAAATTTGCGCTGTATTTGTCTAATCATCAGAGATCCCATGAGGACACGATCACTAGTATATCGATGACGATGTCATCGGACCTGGACATTGAGCAAAGAAAAACTCCACATCGATGTAAATCAAAATCAAAATAGAAAATGATCTATAACAGGGTGTGCGGAGGAGTTTGTTGAAGTGCATTCCTTTCAACAAGAGTATATTTTTGTTTCTATACAGACACCATACGTATATTTCAGTATTCCTATGCAGACAACTTACAGCTATCAAGGACAACAGAAGACGGTTGCTATTCTGCTGATTTTGCAAACGATCCTGGAAATGATGTTTATTCAGTTCCACTCGTTCAGACAGAGGAGATAGAAGAAAAGAAGTCATCTGGCCTCAAAGCACTACAGGTACTTGTGCGTCATGAACGATATAGCTTGAATGCTCTTGCAGTTTTCCAGGAATGTAAAAATGATCTGATGAATAAATTTATAATTGAAAATAAATAAGCAACTGCATATCAATCACAATATAACTTTCAAATACTTCAATATTATATTAACTACTTTCCCTTTTGCACCAATTATTTATCTCCAAGTAACTAAGTTTACGGAGTGAAAGTTGACTGACAACGTTTCTGTAATCTTAAGACATCCGTCGTAATATTTCATATTACATCATAGTCGGTCTATGTCTCTTTACCCTTGATCTAATCATTTCATTTTTTTCTTCTTTTAATATCGATGACGAAATTTGCGCTGTATTTGTCTAATCATCAGAGATCCCATGAGGACACGATCACTAGTATATCGATGACGATGTCATCGGACCTGGACATTGAGCAAAGAAAAACTCGACATCGACGTAAATCAAAATCAAAATGGAAAAAGATATATAACAGATTGCGCGGAGGAGCGTTTTTGAAGTGCATTCCTTTCAAGGTAAGGATGAATAAGATTGCAATTTTAAAATAATTAGTATTTTCAATCCGCAGGTATTGCACTCAATCCTGTTTCTGGAATTATTGTCATATTTTGCAATGCTGAAAACACGCATTTCAACATATACTAGTAGTAAAAATAGTGACTTCGGAATAAAATGCGAAAAAAATCTTTGAATATAGATATGTATACAAAATGTATATAAACACATCTGATTATGCAGCATAAGCAACAATATTTATTTATTTCAGAACCATGAACAAGAAATCTGTGAGCCCATGGTGAATACAAGGTAATAATTACCGTTGCAGAAAATCAAAATTGTAGTGTTTTTATAAATAAACAATTCCATCGATGAGAATCGGTTTCGCAAGTTAAAGAACAATACAAATTCAAATGATTTTTTAAAATTGTCTGCCCTGGCGAATTGCCGTGAGAAAGAAATATTGTATCTAACCCGTGTGATATCTATTTTCTAGATAAGTAGCATCCATTGCGAATTAAAGTATCAGTTGAACAGATATAAATGAATACAGGAAGTCACATAGTTCAATAAAACTCAAGATGACATCATACATTGGTATAAAGGTCATTTTGAAAAAGTGACGTAGAGTAGCAAATTTATTGATGCCGGTATCATGTACGTACAGGTTCATTTGGCAGTACCCATCCAGATGATTTTTCATTGCAGGCATCACATAACCAGTATGCAGATATATGAAGTCTAACATAAAGGTTTCTGTTATACCTGAAATGCACATATTTGTTTTCAGGTGTAAGATCCTTGCAGATAAAAAAACCCAGCTCCATTGCAGACAAAATATGACAGAAAAAACAGACAGACAAACAGTGAAACAAACCAATTGTTTCATGAAGAGCCGTATGCTGAAACGAACATACATGTACTATAGAACATACAGATGCCAAATTTGATCGTGGGCCATCATCGACACATATACAACCTTGTCTCATCTCATCTTTGGTACATGTTTTCGTGTGACGTCAAGGACTCATTTATCTTGTGTCATCATCGAAAAACACTAATTTGTATCATCATCGACACATATTAACCTGTGTCATCATTGACATATACCATCAATTCTGTGTTATCATCAACACATATTATCGTGTCATTATCGACATTTACAATCTCATATTATCATAAATACATGATAAATACGTAAATTTGTGTTATCATCGACACATGAAATATACACTATTTATGACATTTACATTACATTATATATGACATTTACAATATCATATCATCATAAATACTTACCAGATTGTGTCATGATAAATACATACAATTTTGTGTCATCATCGACACATACAAGTGTGTGTTTTTATTGATGCATCTAACCTGAAATATGTAAATCAAATTGTTGAGGGTATCCTTAGATGTATTCAACGAGCGTGAGAGACTGGGTTAGATTTAATACTAAAACTGCAGATCAGTTCATAAACAATAATGTACAACAAGTGGTCAATACTCTAGTTTTAGGAATGTAAAATGACGTGATCATGTCCTGATTAGATATAAAAGAGTAATTACAATAGCTTCCATTTCATATATAATTTATTAATACAATCTAGATGTATTACATTAATCGGCAAGCCTCTACCAAGCTAAAAGCGAAACATCTAGACGAGTTACATAATATCTTATGAAATGTAAACAAAGTAACGATCATTTTGATCATGATTTTTGATAATCGTACGTGGATATTCGCACAAAAAATGCTCTCCCTTGCCGTCTCAAAGTTGTTGACGTTGTCGTTGTTTCCCTCATATCTTTTGTCTCCTACGGGACGTTATAATGTCATGAGGACATACCAGTCTCCTTCATTGTAACATAATTTGTATAAACATATACATATATACTCAACATTCCTAATTGAATAAGCCAAAATGAAATAACTCACATGGAAAGTCTGTGACGTAAAATGCTTTTTAAATTGGGTCAATTTCTTAGGTATTGCTGCATTTCACTACTGAAACACTTTCCATTCTGAGCTTCGAAGAATGCCAATGTCAGAAACCGTTATCAACACAAGCAAACCTGCTAAAAAACTCATATTTTACTTTGAATGTCGATTCATGAGCCACAAGATATACCATTGTTTTGGTATAATGATATCATTTTTTTAAATAACAACATTTTATAAAATATTTTACATGCTACAACCTTTGTGTTATAGTTAGAAGTAAATAGTGTACACATTTGAAAAGTTTGACTATTTTAAGAAATAAGTAAAACACTAGATTGGCCACCGTCTCTAGAATATTAAATGATTAAGACAAAATTTAACTCTAATAATTTTGATCACTTGGATGTCTGATTCTAGAGGTTCTAACTAGGAGGAGATAAGCTAGTAGTAAAATGCAGTCGAGAAATTCTTCATAAAAACTTAGGAGCTGGTGGCCAGTCTAGTCTAACACATGCTGTCCTAACTTCAAGCTTTAACCATGAATACATATTTTAGGTGGTGTTTTTTTAAATAGTACGTTTGATCATATATTATATATAAGATGACTTTTTCTTGCCTGGATATCAATGTAAAAAAATCATTATATTCATTATTTATGATGTGCTTGAGACTACGATATTGAAGTTCAACCGAATTTCGAAATGTTGCTACTTTTAAGAAATGAGCCAAACACTTGTTTCGTTTCAACTTCAATGCATGTACATGTATATTCATTCATGCATGTCTTTTAGTAATATTTGTTTTAATTTTGTACATTTGATCATATAACATAACATAAACTTGTCTGTGCCTATGCAAAATGACAATGAAGAATTGATTTTGTAATACGCAGTCAGAATGTGACTAGAACATTTGAGTTAACAGAAATAATGATATACATTGTATTTTATTTTTCTATTATAATTCTTTTTATCCCTCGTTTTGAAATAAGATTCACAACTGATATGAATTATGAACCCCTGATTACAATTAGCACAGAAGCAAACCTGGAATACGAGATGCTAATAATATGGCCATCTGTCCATACGTCAGTTTCGTCCCTGGTCCATAACGGATTATAAGCATATTTCTAATCTATAGTGTAAAGTATCTAATACAGTTGTCTATTTCACTTCAAATGTTTGATGGTGATAACTCATTGGCTATATAACAGATTTTTACCAGCTATACCTCATTTTACTGATCTTGTGTCGTCGTCATCATATGAAAATATTACCAAATCGTACAAAATACTCATCACTTAGAAAAATGTATACGACTCCGTATGATTGGCTTGGTTTTATCAGGTGCTTGTTTGCTGGAGGTAGGGTATCTTGGTGGTGTATTTGCCTACTTGCGATACCATAGAAGTGGTGCCGACTTTAGAGTGTTTCCTCATTGAAATGCCATATCGACGGCACCCGGCACATTAATCCATCCGGTCATATTACAGTGATAACGGGTAAACCAGATGTTGTGTTTATCCTTAACACTGAATGTTAAGCAGAAAATAGCAACCACCATTTTTGTATGTCATGGCCTGGGGTACAGAACTCAGTGCTTACCCAAATATCGCGAATGTTCAACACCAAGGCCAAAAGTCAGGTATTTCCGAGGAAGCCACTAAAAACGAATAGATTATTAGGAAGAAGAATGAAAATACAAAGATCCCAAATGTTGCAATGATGGCGGCGGACCAATTTTGGTTTCTTCAATGTCCCCTCAGCTCTTCCAAATTCCCATACATGGGCAAAAGAAATTGCTGAAATATAGAAGAGTTGTCGTTCTTGACGCACCTGACTATGATGCAGAATTTCTCATGATGAATGATTTATCATTGGTCCACTGTAATAATGCTCAGTTCGTTCAGGGCCATTTTTTATGAGAACCTCTCTTTCTACTATTTAAAGGATAAGTGTATTTCATTTTTTCCTATTTTATTTTACATTATATCGGCCTGTAATCACCATAATTTTATTGGGAAAATAACGAAACAATGAAATAACGAAAATTAAAAAAAATATCAATAATAAAAAATTAGTATACAGGTAATAGTTGTTTGTTTTGGAAATGACTTTTGCTTCATTTTGTTAAAATACCTACAGGATATATTCCTGTAATTCGTTTTGGAAAACATACGATATTTCTCTCTGGAATAGAAAGTGTAAGAACTGCGGCCAGACTAAGTGATTGTCTTTACAGCTCTATAAAAGTAAGTATACTTTAATTAACAATTATCAACATTTTCGTACAAAACAGGGGAGAAACTGTACTCGGGATAATGCAAAAATTATAAACACTGAAATTGTCATATTCCCCCACAATAACGGTCGAATGAGTAAAAGAGAGAAAAGTACAGACGTGGCTTGGCGTTTGGTCCGATACATTGATATATCGTTATTCTGCAGGACTAACAATTATGATATGTGTTTGATCACTGTGTCAATATGTTAAATATTTGTTATTTGTCTGCATTGTTTTCAAGAATTTCAATATTTCTTTAATATTTGAAAAATGGTTTGATTCATTTGTTAGGTATGTGTCAATTCCATTCTAGAGCAGAGCAATAACAAGTGATTATGTGGCGGCAATACCGAATTTGGATTTTATTATTTTTTCATCTAACAAATGGCAATAAAGAGACTATAATTGACGGTCTTTTCTAGTACAACTTGATCTCTGTATTTACATCTTTATTTGTATCCACCGTTTCTTTTCGACAGTGTCTTCCTAGACACATTCACCATGTATAAGTTGTGCTTTGTCAGTTTGCTGACACTACAAAATATGTCGTATTTTCTCATCGGACTAAGCTGTACTTCAATAATATAGGTTACTATATTGACAAGGTGCTTATGTGGTACTATTCCAGGTTTACAAACTTAGATCTCTTTTCTATCCAAACAACTGTTTCCTAATGTTTGTATCTTTCTTTATATCTCACCAAACCATTGCCAGATTAATATGTTCGAACAGTTTATCTTTATCAGTATCCAGGTGTTCAGGTATCAGGATCAAAAACGGATTTGAACTCCAAATCCAAATATGTTTTTATTTTCAAAACTTCAGTTTTTTGTTATAATGTGATTATATATTTGTGCAGACGTGTTCATTAATATATTTCAAAGAGGAATATAATTATTAAAATTTGTTTTACGAAATCAATAGGTAAAGGTTTAGCAAAGCTAAAGTCGGCTTACGGATAACAAACTTAATACTGTATCAAGTAACTCAAACCATGTACTATTTTTAAATGGGCCGGTCTGATATAACGCCTGTATGAAACGTATTAATTTGATTTATAATGATGAAGCACATTGTCGAATTACTGCGATAATGTTATTATTGTAGATTGACAAAAAATATTTTCTAAAATGAAATACAAATACATATACATAAACAAATCAATTAGGCGACATTAGATTGTTATTACACCATACCATTCGGAGCCTGAGATAAAGGTAGTGAACTTCCAAAGATAATTTCTCGTATTTTATTGCACTTTTTAAATGTATTTACGTACCTTCCATTATGTTTCAAAAGACAAAGTTAAGACCAATTTGACTTTTTCGACTTTTGGTCCCTAGCATTACCGAGGAGTCTTTAAAGGAAGAAACGTCGGTTAGTTGCAGTGTAATCCATTTGTGGCGTACTATAACTGAACTGTTAAAGGTTTAATCATATGTGAATGTTTTTCGCCAATCTCTCCATGTCACAAAAACCCGCATTGACCATCAACTTAATTTTATCCTTTTTCTGGAAACTACACTCCATTGAATTGGTTCACACAAATGTTAAGCCGTCGAAGCTAGTGAAATATGACGCCGAAAAAAAGACAATGCATGAATGGACTCATTTTAAATATCACTTTTATTTGCAAAATATTTAAAGTTTGAATTAATTCATAAATCACAGATATTGATTTGCTATATTGCACGATCAATCGGCATCAATCATTGTCACCTGGAGTACTGCCTGTACCAAAATAGGAATGGTTACCATAAGAAAAGATGTACATACTGTCATATATATGTAGCTTTTATTTTTCGCGAATATTCTTTCCGCGGAAAAAATGTCAAAATTTCGATATTTTGTGATGATAAAGCACTAATTTTCAAACATAAACTCATTACAAAAAAAAACAATGATAGTTTCCTGACCACCTTGCTTGTCATAAACATATATGCATTGTGTGAATTTTCATGTCCAGATTGATTTCCAAACATACGTCATATGTGATATAAAATAGTTTCGTATTTTAAAAAGATTACGTTAAGGTTCATTTCAACACGTAATATATGGACGGTCAGGAACGGTAATTGTTCGTCTGTCTTCAGGAGAAAATGAACCACCTTCTACACGTTATCAAAGTTCATGTTGCATTAAATATTCTAAACTTTATTCAATCCTTGAGACAAAACAGTTGTATTGATAAACACAAAGGAATGACCTTGTATTCCTTACGTTTTTGTCGTTTTCATTATCATTCGTGTTCTTATTCATCAAAGTTAAACCATATCACTAACATGATGCACATCATCATTCATATCGTCGATTTGGTCACGACTTCGACAATGTCAACGTTAAGACCTCTTTTCTTTAAATCAACTTCCACAAAATTTATCATATTCGATCAGACTTGGGAAGATGCACTGCAGAGCGTACTGGACACTTGTCATAATGCGTGGTCAAATACATTCTATCTTAACACACATCTCAAGAACGTTATAGAGCACAGTCACCACGCCATAACAAGAATCGCCAGTTGATCTTCGGAGATCAATTATGCAGTTCGGTAATCCATTCACTTTCAAAGATAAAGAAGAGGCACGTTACACTTTGTCATCTTATAAAGTATACAGAATCAAGTCTCTTCACCAGAGTGATGTTCCTCTTCCTCAAGTACACGAGTTGTCTTTTCTTCCATTTCGGCGTCAGAGACCTTCACACCTTTCTCGTAATCTAATTGATCAACATCGTCAGAATCATGTGAAACCACTGACGCTGCGCGAGACGACGGTCTAGCATTAACGTCTGCAAACACAATTTCGTCCGGAAGTTTATCTGGAAGCTTATAACCATCAGTAGAACCCGCGAAGAATGAAGGTTCCGGGTTTTGACTTTCCTTTGGAAGCAGTGGTGGCGAAAAGAAGGTTTTATATTCTGGTTCCTTCATCATTACGACCCTTTTCGGGCTTACGAAAGACGGGGTAACGGGGTCAGCTGCCCGCCATTTTTGAAGGACAGCTCGTGCTTTTGCAGCGTCAGATTTATTTTCAGTAAATCCTAGCGATTTTG